TATATAATTAATTTATATAAATAAAAATTTCATGAAGTCCTACTTTCGACATTCTCCCTCCCTCTGCCTACCGGGTATATCATAGTCGGTCATGCTCGTTTCGAGCACTTTTGCTTTATTATCTTTGCTGCATTTTTGACTACAAGAAACAAACTTTTCTCATTTGCAGATGTGCGCGCTGTGCCACACGTGGAATAACAAATTGAAGCTGCCCAGCACGTCACGCCCACAACGATTACAAGTGCTGCAACTAGAAGATAGAGAGAACGAACCAGAAGAAGGAGAAGTAAGAGTAGAAGAAGAGCAGCAGCAGCACAAATTTTTATACAAAATACCCCGAACAACTCTAGTGATATGGAACTGTGCATAGCAACAAAGTCAAAAGCTCAAAGTTCAATGCATGAAATCAACTATCAAAATATTAATAATATTGATAAGAATCATAGTAAACGTGAATGCAGTAAAAGCAACAAAATATGCCACCAAAATCAAATGAATACTCTAACGAATACTCAACTATTCAGCCACAAATGCCACACGAAACACAGAGATCGAGACCACCTGAAAAAGCAACAACAAAACCAACGAGCAACTGCACAAAATAGCAACAAACACAACAACAACATTAACAACAATTGCTATCTGCCATGCCACAGACTTTATCAACTGCTGCCACTGCTGCTGCTGCTGTTAGCCTTGCTGCCACATGCGACAGCATCGCCCGGCAGCAGTCGACGCGATGCTCTGCTCGCCTACTATAAACGCGCTCAGGTGCGCGAGAGCCTGCCGGAATACCAGCTGCACGAGGCAAATGGCTTTGATTTCGATGAGGTGCTGCCCGTGGGCAGTGTGGTGTCCGCGCTGACTAATGCGGAACGCTTGCGCAAACGCAGCGCCACAACGACAACAACCACAGCCCAAGGCACACCACCAACAACGGCAGCAACAACAACAACAACACCAGCTGCRGCACAAACAACAACAAGTTCGGCTACAGCCACTGGCAGTAGCAGCAAAAAAGCAGAGAAATGTGAGCCAAAAGTCCTCGAGACGCTGCCCGATGAGCCGGTAAGTTTTGAATGATATTTGATAATACCTTGACTAATACTCCTTAGTGACAAATACAAGTTATTTGTGTTGGCATTTCAGCAGTTAACACTTCGTTTGTTAGATCTGCTAAACAGCTTTGGCGTAAGTTGCGCTGTTATTCAAGCCTATTCGAGGTCTGTTAACAACTTGAATGTTTTACATTTTACATACATACATTTACAAACATTTAGGCAAGCCTAACTCATTTTTTAAAAGCTAATGCTAAAGTCCGCTATTAACATTTTTGCTGTAAGTCGTGCTGTTATAGAGCCCGATTTGCAGTCTGTTAACGCCTTGAAACCATACCTCACAAATCACTGTGAGACAAAAATTAGAGAGCAACCAATTACGTCGGTTCTTTAACGAACTTATTCGTTAAAAAGGTTTTCTTTTTTTATTTGCTTGAACGAACATCGTCTCTCCTTAAGGCAGTTCTAGGCGCTCATCACCTGCTGCTAGCCCTAAGCTATGCTTGAAACTCATTACAAGAAAAGGCTTAACTCTTACTTTAACAGCTTAGACATGTGACTGTTATTAACATTTAAGCTGTAAGTTGTGCTGTTATGATAGCCGAATCCTAATCTATATGTATATGACTTAAAAGAGTTGTTTTACAATATGCTCTTAAGGTCACAAACTCACACTAGTAGTATATGACCTTTGGGGATATCCTAGAAGAGCAGGACATTTATCAGGATTAATTGGATAATCCATTAATTATGTCAATTTTGTATGCTATTTCTGTCATCCGCTTGGGTCGTTTGGGGGACAATTGTTTTGGCTATGGGAAAAATTGCAGCTTGCAATCGACCCAAAGCGGGCAATTAGCATGAATATTTAAAACTGCTAGCTTGGCAGTTGATAAAATGCTACTCGGTCGGAAATGTCACAAGCAGAAGGAGAAATAGGAGCAGAAGCAGAGGCGGCAACCGCAGAAGCAGCAGCAGGGGGGGATGGGCGTATTCATTTTTTTCGGTGTCTAATCAATAAAATTGCTGAGGCAGCTGCCCCACTTGACACCCTTGGTCTCCCACTGACGTGGCTTCTCGAGCATAAGTTGAATCAGACTTTCGCATTTTCATGCTGACAAAAATCTTTTTGCGCGCACGAAATTCGAAAGAAAAACCCAGGCAAAAGCCCGTCCCGCCTCGCCGTGTTGTTGACGGTCGTAAAAAATATTTCGCATACGCCATGTCTGACGCACATTCTATCTAGCCACAAGCCGAAGGAGAACAGCGCAGCAGAGGGTGTGGCAGGGTTACAGGTATTACATGGGATTTGCAGGCAGGCAACGAGCAGCGGGCAGTGGGCGGCAAGCGTCAAGCAGCGGGTAGCAGGGCGTAGGAAATCAGCTCGTCGTCTGCTTGACGGCATGTCACGCGTTTTGCTCTCGCAAGTTAATTAAAAGATACTAAAGAAGTCACAGCCAAGGGCTCTGGGCCGTATCTTAGCCTGTATCTGGTTGCCAGTAACTGGTGTGCGGTCTATCAACGATATTTTAATTGAATTTGCATGACAGTTCCAACGAGAACTTGCAATTTCAAGATAGCGACACTCTTAACCACAAGCTCATCCACGAATCACTCAGTCAGGGATGGGTGCGTGAGTGTTGTTAGATATGCTAGTTATGCAAATGTGCTTAACAAATGCAAAATCTCATTATCGATAAATTGGAAAATCTACTTAAAGTGTTATCGAGTTGAACAGCTCAATTATTTAGTTACATCGATAGACAATGTTAATCGTGCTTTTCCAATTTGAAATGCAGCCTTAAGTTGCTTTTGCAGCTATTTTTAGCCAGCTGCGCGATTCGTATAAATATTCAATGGGACAACGTGTAAACAATGTGCCACGTAGCAGCTATTCCACTTCCTTGTCCACCCACGCACACAGACACACACTCACAGACAGACAGGCACACTGAGAGTATGAGCGATCGATGAGGCAAAGTGAGTGGCTTACTGGCTGGATGCTGGGACTTGACGCAATTGCCAAGCAGCTGAGAGCCATAATTAAAAGATACAATTTCAATTGCTCTGAACAAAATGGCAAGCAAATTTGTAAACTGCCGTTAGGTTGCTCTTGGTATGTGTGTGCGTGTGCATGTATCTGTATGAGCGTGCGATTTGGATCTATACACTTGAGTGGGACATACTTAGCCACGTAGGTCCCCCACTTGGGTGTGTATGTGTATAAAAACGTTGTACAGCATAATGAATAAAGTGGCACACATTGCAGCACAGCTGAGCTTGGGGTGGGAGTAAAAAAAAGAACAACTAAAAAGAACAGCTGTAGGGCACACCGAAGCTACAATACCCTAGCAAATGCTTATAAGCTTGTTGATATATGTACATAGTTTTTGAGAGATATAATGATTTTTTTTTTTTTTGCTTTTCAGTTATATAGGAAAGTTTGCTGTGAAATTTTCCCCTTAAATTTGAAACTTGTAAGCTACAAAGTTACATAGCTTATAGCATACTTATAATACTTTTTGGTGGTGTATATTGAAACGCATTTGGAAGCCTGTCCCGGCTGGTTGTCTTTTGTTTGGCTCTGCGGCTATGGTCAACAGCGAACGCGCTGTCCGCTGCCCGTCAAGCGTTATTGTTGTTGCTTGTTCTTATTGTTATTGTTATTGTTGCTGCTGTTGCTGCCGCGGTTGCTGCTGCTGCTGCTGCTGCTGGTTCTGCTCCTCTTGTCAGTGTGTGCTTTTGTTACGCTCCAACAACGAGCTCGCAAATTTATATGTATGCCGTGCCGCAGCCTATTTGTTTGCCTTTGTTTCAATAACAACGACAGCGAGCACAGCACAGCGAGAACCACAGTGAAGCAACAAACTAACTAACAAAGCACAATGCAACGTCAAAATTATTTAACTAATTGTGTCCCACAGATTTGGCTCATGCCTTGCGTCGGAGTCATACCTTATATAAAAATTGGTTTTCAATAGATTGCCTTCATGATTTATGACTCAAGCCCAAGTCCATTTGAACAATTGGTTTTCGCATTTTTGGCTTTATTTGAATAGAAAATAATTGAAAATAATTTATATATAAATAGCTATAGAAAATATGCTAAAAATATTTATTTATTTGAAAATTTAAGATCTGCTGTTTTTTCCTATATTAATAAAATAGATAAATATTGCTAATAAAAAGCTTTAACAGTAAATGCAAGTAAATTACATGAAGATGCCAATCATATTACCACTGCTAACAGAAAATGTTAAATTAACAGCTTTTATGACAGCAGAGCAATATACATTCAATAGAATAAATGTTGCATATGCGCCAGGCGCAAGCCGGAAATGCGGACTATTTATACTTTATCAATTGTGTTGATAAGATAATAAATTTTAATGTCATGGATTTAAAGCAATATAAAGATAAAAAGTAAAAATAAAAAAATGCTCACAGCTATTATAAATTGTATATACAATACATTCAATAAATTATCATTATTCTTGTTTTTTTTATTATTCAACATAAATTGTCACATTATAATTTGTAGAATAACTGAAATAAAATACAAATTTAATCCATTGCACCAACATTAATATAAACTGTAACGCTGTTCTCTGGCATCAGCTAAATATTCATACAAAAAAGGGTTGCATAAGCCCGAGGCACCAGCCGGAAATGTCGCTTAAAAATGGCCCAGTCGCCTGCAGCTTGACTCGGTGCATGCTTAAATGCTTCGTTTTTGAATTACACTTCTTTAGCACATTCAAAAACTTGAAGCGTGATCCACAATTTGCGTGCGCCGCTTGAATAAGCGAACGTTTTGCTAAATTGCAATGCGGCGGAGGCTTGAAAAAACACTCAAGCAGGTCGCCCCACAGGCAGTCAGGCAGTTGCTCTGCATAATGAAGATGTGCGCCGAGTAGTGCATACTTCTAAGCTGCCCAGATGAGATTTGTAAGTGTCAACAGCAGCAAAACACAACACAAAAAAAATAACAAAAATAAATGCAGCAGAAGAAACAAAAAAAAATAAAACAACACGAAGAATAAACGCAAAGCAAAGCAAAGCAAAGCAACTGACATATTTTATTCATTAAGCACAAAGCGAATAACACGATGGCAAAACATGCAAATGACAACAACAGCAACGACCAAATGCCATATGGGCATGTAAATATTTTTATGGTCATAAGTAAGAATTTTGTATAAGCATGCACTGAGAAAAATAGTTGCAAAGCTCGGTTTAATTCAATTAAAATTGTGAAAATTAAGATTACAAATTAAAAAAAAAAAAATAAGCTCAACAGAATTTAAATAATTCAAACAAACAAAGCTATCAGTAGTTTAGGCCAAACCGTAACACATGCTACCTCTCTCATTTTGCGTTCTTTATTTATTTATTTCTTTGAGTGTACCAAAACATGTGTATGTGTTATTACATACATACATATACATATATGGCAAATGCCGGCATATCCGAGTGCGCGACGAGATGTCGAGGCAGGAGACATTAAAAAGCCAGTAAAACGCGCTTTACGGATTTCATTTCAACTGCTTGTGGCTTGTGCGAGTGTGTATGAGTGTGTGTGTGTGTGTGTGGCACAACACTTGGCATAGTTGCTGGCTTTATTTACATGTGTATAAGCAGTTATATGTGTTTTTGTGTGTGTGTGCTGCAAATATATGCATGTTTTATTGCACACTCGCTTCTGTTTTGTGGTTTTTGCTATTTACAAGTGTTTTGCATTTGTTGTTGTTGTTGTTTTGGTTTGTTTCTTTCTTTCTTTGGCGGAGACCGCAACACGCCTGAATGGATCGACCCTCTCCATATGAGTGTATGAGTGTGTGTGTGTTAGTTATTTGTGTACAAATATGTTTGTTTCTTGTTAATAATTCATTTGGCTTTTCATCTGGCACACATAACGTATACGCAATGTGGTCGCCCCAGCGCGTCGAGCATTGCTAATGGGAAATATTTGTTTGAAAAGCCAAAGGTGACTCACCCACACACATACACTCACACGCACACACACACGCACACAGCAACAGCCTGCCCTCCACTCAGCTTAATCCCCGTTTTTCTCCACGTGCTGCGGTTACCTTTTGTTACCGAAAGGCATAATGATGTCATCAGAATTGTCCTTTCCAGCGACGCATCTGTGCCCACTAGAACAGAGCACTGCTCTCTTTCATTCTCTCTCTGTCTATATATATATATATGGCATTAGTAGCATTTTGTTGCGCTGCCTTGCCTGGGCATTAAATCGTATTATTTGCCAACAACTTTTTGCATGCCAGTACGCAGCTAACCAGCCCGAAGGTGTTGAACCGGGCAAAAGTATGCGTCATGTGAATAATTAATAGCCAACACACACACATACGCACACACACACACACGAGTAGAAAAAGTCGCTTTCTGCTTGGGTCATCTTATTTACGTATGCTTAATTTTCTTCGCGTTCACACCAATTATATCGCCCACTTAAGGTTAGCACGCATTTTCCGACTCCCTGCATTTGATATTCGGGCTAAGGTGTGCTTTAGTCTAGGGCAAGCAAAGTATTACATCCCTCGAGAGTCATGTGTGCAGCACAGCTTATCATATTACTAGCTCGGATTACATCTCCTCTTACGCTTTGCTTTGCTTTGCTGTTTGCAAATTTTCAATGCTTTCCATTTGGGTTTACTTTGCGGTATACACATAAGTGTATATGAATATATACAAAGTTACGCTCTTAAAATAAGTTTGTCTTCTGGGTGTTGTCCATTTTTGTATTCTTCTGTGTGCTGTATTCGTAAACGTTGCATAAGTAGTGCTACTTGAAATAGAACTAAAAGGCTATGGACAATTTATTGAGAAATTATAAAAGTTGACCAAGGAATCGAACGTCGATAGCATAAATAATTAATGTGATATTGATTTATATAAATATATGTATATATAACTTTCTACTTTCTATTGAATTTTCAGTTTTACACCTTCACCGAAATAGCCGAGGACGCAGCACGCAAATTCACGGAATTCCTATCGAATAAATTTCCAAATGCCAACATGCCCATTGCCATAGATGAGCAGACGCGAGCGGAGGTTAGCCATCGGGCGAACGCCATTGCCAGCCACGCCCTCAACGAGGATGACAATCTGCTGGCATTTGCCATCGCGGCGCCCAGCATACACACAGTCGTTGTCAAATTCAGGGACAATGTGACGGTCAGTCTCTGAGCCAGCGACAATAAAAGCAAATGGCAGTTAGCTTACATAGCGCTTAACTGATTTATGCTCTTTGCTTCATTCACTCATTCTTACATTATATTCGTCTCCTATTTCACTTTCAGATACCACCGAATGAGGTGCATAATAAGGCGTACTTGGGTTCCTATTGGCGGGAATTGGGGTGAGTTGAAGCATTAACCAAAATTTCTATAAAAATTAAAAACAAATTTAAAGTAGTTGAAACAGTTCTAAATGGCATAAAGTTACTATTCCTTAAAATTCAAGAATAAATTTGTATAATATTTAAATGTTATATTTTTAGAAATATGCATTACTTAAATATTTATTTAATTGTTACTACTGCTTAATATATTTTTGATTTTCAATTTATGTTTGCGTATTTCAGAAATTTTTATTTCTTGACAAATTCCCATTTCGTTTTATTAAATGGTTTTAATTTTGTATGTCCCTAATGGATCAAAACAAAGCACATATAATATAATACTATTAACTTACTATAACCCATGCTTGCGTGCAGTTGACAGTTCACTAATTGCTTTGATCCTATCGAAAATACTTATAGAGCCGCCTGGAATAGCAGCGATGGCACCCAGGAGTGGGGAGCGCCCTTTCGTGACTGCAACCTGTTGACGGGGCGCTGGCTGTGGCCATTTCGCATATCATTCACCGACCACCGAATCAAGTGAGTTGCCAATAATAATTAGATATATACATACATGTTTGACTGATTGACGATGTTCAAGAGTTAGCAAGGCTTACTTAATTTCTACTTTTTGATCGATACTTTACTTTAATTTAAAAAATTTAACTTAGTTATTTGACATTAAAAGAGTTGACGGATAATTCGTATAATATCTAGAAACCCGTTATTAGATGAATCAAAACAAACTTATTTAAATGAAGCTTTCAATTCATTACAGCATATATGTAAATTAATCAACCGCTCGTTCTTTGCGCGTTCCAGTAGCTGTTAGCATAAATGTTAACAAAAAATGTTAAAAGTAAAGCTAACACTGTTTACATTCACACTTTTGCAGAATTGTTGCTGCTGCATTCGTAGCCGCTGATGAGGACGTTTGCAACGATGGTCTGGAGGAAGTGTTTGGCAGGCGTCATGGGTAATACAAGCCACAACCAAGTCCTATCGATATCTGATTTTATAACTGCTTTATATTCTGCAGCTGCGATCGCAATACCACATTCTGCCTGCTGGTGGAGAATAAGCCGGCGGCCAGCCGTGATGTCTACACGTGTTTGTGCCGCGAATCCTATTACCTGCCCAATTCAACGTTGCAGGGCTTTCGCGGTGATCTGGTGGAGCTGTCCGAGGGCTTTGACAACTTCTCGTGCATACCCTGTCCGGGTGGCTGTAGTCACTGTGATCAGCATGGCGTTTGCCTCAACTTTCAGGAGGAGGACACACTCAACTTGGATGCCTGTCTGCGCCTGCTGGTCGCCATTGTGTTGGGCGCCTGCATTCTCTGCTGCGTGGTGCTCAGCGTGATTGTGTTTAGGCAACGCAAGTGCAAGGTGAATGCGGCAAGCAGACATCCCTTAGCGACAACCCAACACTCTCACTCTCAACGCTCTTTTATTTCAGGCCATTGCATCGGGCATGTGGACTGTGCTGGAGACCATCCTGCTGGGCATTGTATTACTTTATGCATCGGTTCGTTAGTTTGTCAACCAGAACTTGTCTGTATGGTAATGAAATCTCGTCTTAGGTTGCCGTCCATTTCTTTCCCGCCTCCACGGAGCGCTGCTTGCTGGAGCCCTGGCTGCGCGAGATTGGCTTTATCACGTGCTATGGTGCGATTATCTTGAAACTATATCGCCATCTGGTGGACTTTCGCACTCGCAAAGCGCATCGCTGGGTGCTCCGCGATGTGGATTTGCTCAAATATCTGGGCACCATGGTCTTTGCCGTTATTTGTTATATGTCCGCGTTCACGGCCTCGTCGCTCGATCTGCTGGAGAGCGCCCAGTTGGAGAGTCTGCGAGAGGTCAGCACCAACACTTGCCATCCCCTCAAATGGGAACTGGTGACGCAGACCAGCGAGATGCTCATCCTCTGCTTTGGCCTACATTTGGCCATTGCCAGTCGCAATGCCAATACACAGTTTCGGGTGAGCAAACGACATTAATCTGATGTCCTTTTAAATTAAGCTTATGTCTATTCAGTTAAAATAACCTAAACAAAAAAAAAAAAAAAAAAAAAAAAACAATTTCACATCTTGTTTTTATACCCTGAACCTATTTGAAATGAGAGATCATTGACATATCTCGAAGACATGCGAAAAAGTTTAAAAATAGAGTGTACAAGTTTATAGAGAAAAATTTTGTTTTTTTTTTTTTTTTTTTTTAATTTTTTGAAAATATATTAGATAAAAAGTCCATAAATATCGATAATTTAAACCTTTATGTACACATATTTATTTATTTCTAACGTTACAAATGCTAATGATACTTTTCTTGTCATTAATTATGAGCTTTAGAGAGGAACTCAAATTAATATATTTTCAAATTTTCAACAGAGATTATACGAAATCTAATGACAATCGATATATACATCGATTATTCTATATATTTAAATAATAGCTTTAGAATAAATAAAACAATAATTTTTTTCCCAACTGAATTTTATCTAAAATAAGCTTTAATTTCTTAACAATCTTTCTCTGTTTTTGTCTTCCCACAAACATAAAATTGTCTTGATAATGTTCTTAGATTTAAAATAGTTATTTTTACCACTCTTACCCATTTTGCAGGAGCGTCAATTTCTGGTGACAACATTAACGCTGGAGTTCCTTGTGTCGTCCAGTTTCTATTTTCTGCGCTTTGTCTATTTGCCGGAAATGAGTCCCAGCGCCATTTTGCTGGCGCTGTTTGTGCGCTCGCAGCTGACGAATAGCTTCGCCTTGGGTTTGATATTTGTGCCAAAATTGTGGTATCAGCACAAGCAGGTAACACAATTTGTTGACAATTTTATTTACGTCGCTTAAGTTTTTCATATGATTTACAATTAACATTTGGTTTAACATTAAGATTTATTTATTGCTAACAAAAGAACAAAAAAGAATTTAATTGGAAAAAGTGCGTCCAAAGTTTGTTCGAGCTAAATACATATACCATATATTACATATTTATATATATGTATGTATTACTACATATATATAACCTAAAAAGTTGAGATATTCCCGCCGTAGACTCAGTTTGTGATCATTTGTCCGCAGTCGCTCGTCTCGTCTCGTCTTGTATTGGTCCAAGTATATCGTAAATCGTAAATCGTACTCGTTCTTGTATTTGGTATAAACATTTGGTTGAGGAAACGATTTTTGTAAAAAAAAAAAAATTTAAATAAATAAAATAAACATCAAACTGTAATTTGAAAACGCCGAAAAAAGCTTTTTGCTAAATACAAAATTAATTTCATAAATTAAAAAAAAAAAAAAAGTATAATTTGTCGAGTTGAATTTATTATGGTTTCTATTTATTTTTGGAGTTACAAAATACAATTTTAGTATTAAGCTAACATTTTCATAAATTTTAGTCAAGCTATGAAGTTGCTGCAAGTGTCATTTTTGTACCCGAATGTTTACTGTATGTATTTATCGAAGTTCTTGATTTCATCTCATGTTGCGTATTATTTCGTTCTAACTGCACCCGAGTTCTTAAGTTCGCACAACTGTACTTGCTTTTCTTTAATTAACACGTTAACCAACACTATGGCTGCATGCGTGCGTGTGTGTATGAGTGCATGCATTTGCTTAACACACAACAGCTAAGCCATTATATAATGACAAAAATCGGTTTCCTTTAATACCCAACATGTATACCAAAGCTATAGAGTATTCTCTTCTTCTTCCACATTATAATCTATAACTCTGTGTCTCTCACTTGCGCTCTCTCTCTCTATCGCTCTGACTCTATCTGTAATTCTTTGTTAACCCATGTTACTCACTGTCTATCTCTCTAACCTAAAGTAGTTCTCTTAGCCAAAGTCCAAAATAACGTTTAGTCTCGTCGCTATTTATGTTTAGATTTTGACCTATGTTTATCTCATTTCCAGCACCACAAGAGACATAACCACGCCCACGCCCCAACAGACACACATTTATAAAAGAACACTAATAAGCCATACATAAGCTCAGAGAAAAAAACTACCTCAAAATTTAAAATCTGAAAAGCTGAAAAGCAAATCTCTTAACTTAAGTTGAACAAAAACTCTATTAAACTTTCATTAAAAGAACTATCAAGTTTACAAATTAAATTTCTCAGTATATATTTTATTTCAAGCCACTCGCACTAAAAATTACAGGATTTTTATACACATTTTCTCTGAGTGTAATCATACAAATTCCATACACAATTTGACACGAATCGCACTAAAAATTTCTTCTTCTATACTTTTACCAATTCTCAATATTTATAAATTCTGTTTTTCTATACGTTAACCCTTGCTGTTCAGTTAAAATTTCCGTTTCCTTAACCATTTCCGTTTCAACTGTTTCAAACGTTAAGCGTTAGCTTTTCCGTTTTTGTTTCGGTTTCCGTTTCCGTTTTCATTTCCGTTCCGTTCCGTTTCCGTACGGTACGCTGAGTGTGTGGTTTGCGGTGTTTGTTGCATCTTCATAGCTTGCAGGTTCGTTCGCTTGCGTATGATCTATCAATGCGTTTACCTGTGGATGCTTTCAAGGGTACGTCACACGATGCCGGCCAGCGTTTGGGCGGCGGCTATGCGGGCCTGTGCCTGGGCGATCCCGACATTGGTGAGCTGACCATATCCGAAATGAGTCCCGAGGATATACGTGCCGAACTCAAAAGGTGAGCGCCATTAACAGTTCCGATTACGTTCACGTTTGATTGCCATTCCGTTCCGCCCGACTGCAGACTGTACACACAACTGGAGATACTGAAGAACAAGACACTGCGCCAGGATAATCCGCACATTAGCAAAAGGCGCGGCGGTCGCAAAGCGGGTCACCGCCGCTTCTCATTGCAAGTAAGTGACTGAAGATCAACTGGCCGTCAAGTCAGCGTCTTCACTGTAAAATACATTTACATCAAGGCCCAGTCCAGCCAGTGAAATGAACAAAGCTCTTACTTGCAAAGCAAAGCCAAAAGTTGTCTCGATGTTTTTAAAACGCAAAAACCAAGTTTTCCCAGCCCGAGCCCCCTATCAAAGCCCAAGCTCTCCCACTTTCTATCTATATATCTCTTTTTCTCTTTTTCTCTCTCTCTCTCTCTCTTAAACTCCATTTTCACTTGTAAAATCTTTCTGTGTCAATATATATGAATATTAATATGAAATATCTATACATATATCATTGTTCTTGTCATGACTTGTATTATATAATGAAACAAACAAATCAAAAACTCAAACCCACCAACAAAAACCAAAAAATAAACTATATGTAGAAAAAGGGCAGCAAAGATAAGGTAAGCAACGCCAGTCTCTCTCTCTCTCTCTCTCTCTGTCTGTCTCTCTCACTGTTAAATACACGTAAAGTTAACCTAAAGAAAAATCTATCTAAAACATAACCTAACTATGTGTTGTGTCTAACCTAAAAAAAAAATTAATTAATTAAAGTATAGAATTGCGCACGTTTGTCTATAGCGCCTAACTCAACGTAACATATCGTTAAGTCTTTAACTACCACTGAGCATGCAGGCCTAAGCTACCAAAAAAAAACCCACTAAAAAATGAAATAACTGATTGTACCTTTGTGTCCTCTGAGTCTCTGTCTACAGTGTCCCCCAACATGCATGAACACCCAATAGCACTTCATACATAGTACTCGTATCTAAACTAAATATAAAATAAAATAAATATATATTCAACAAAAGAACTAACAAATGCACTCAACAAAATTATATTGCTGAATCGAGAAACTGCCCTATATAATATGTAGAAAAACCTTTCGCAGGCTTTAAGTGCCAAACATCGCAGCAATAAGCATCATCAGGATATTGAGATAACCGAAGCGGAGCCATCACGCACGCCCGAGGACTCAGTTTGCAGTGGCGAGGGACCGACAGATACCTATGCCGAAATATCGGGCATATCGCATTCAATGCTATCCCATTCCATGGTATCACATTCCGTTGTCTCGCACTCCAAGTAAATCTTGAGCGATGCGCCCCCAAATTCTTGTAAATAACTCAAAGGAAGATAGAAACACAAAACAAAAACTAGGAATATATTAATGCTATATACACATACATATATAGTATATAGTATATATAGTATTTATATATATATGTGAATGTATGTAACTGAGAATTAGGTGCAGCATTATAACAAATAGCGCAACAACACAAACAATAAAAGAAATTACTTTAATTTTTTGCAATGAGAATGAGCAAATGTTAAAAAATATATATTAAAAATATAATATATTAAAGAAAAAACTAAGAATCGTATATATACAAACAATAAAAAACATTACTTTATTTTAACAAAAAAAGAAGACGAAGAAGAGTGTGCCATGGAGCAGTGTTGAATAACAACAAAAGAAAATGTGAAAATGAATTTTTGTACAATTTTGATAAATTTTTAAGAGCTGTTTTTGTGCGTGTGGTTTGTTTGTTTGTTTTTCATTTATTCAAATGTGACAAGAGCAAGAAGATGATCAAATTGAAATAGACGAGTTAAAAACAGAGCCCACCTGTGTAGGTAAACGTTAAACTGTTGCAGCAATATAAGTTTTCTAACACTGCTTGTTTTACTCTCTATTATTTGAAATAATTTCAACTGAGTTCCTTGAAAGTAACTAAAGAAAATATATGTTTCATAATTTACCTATCATTTGTCAACCGCAATACAAATATCTAATGAAAAACTCAAAAGACAATTCCTAATGGTCGTAAATCAGTTGTAAATTTGAGCTTATAGGCAATACTTACTTATACACATACTAGAAATTCTTGAAATTCCCAAACCTCCACCCCATCCAGTCCTTCCCCCTTTAACTAACTACTTACACAATCGACGCCTAGACTTTAAAATATGTATGTACTTTATATAATTATATAAAATATACTGAAAGATTTATTGTAAAACCACAGCAACTAATCAGCGTATAGCGAATATTTGTATATACTATACCAATACATGCATATACATATATATGCATATGGTTAATGATTTATGTGCATATCTGAAGTATGCGAAATTAAAAAAAAATAATAATAATAATAATAATAACAAAAAAACTCGATCAAAGCGAGGCACTTGTTAACTTTCTGACAGAGCGAACAAAAAATTGAAAAGGTAAAAAAATTATTAAATTGTTGTATAATTTTACAGTTTAAAAATATGGGGGGCGGGGCAGGTTTAACGATCGTTCTGAATGTTAATAATAGTCTAGTAGTTAAAGAAAAATAAGAAGAAAAATCATTTGTGCAAAATGAAAATTTTTTTGATTTTAATAAAATTTTGTTTCAACCAACTATAATTTTTAATAAATAAAATAACGGAATACATTTGAAATGTATTTTGAAATTGTATAACTCCGATAGCCACATAAGACATTTAAATGCAAAATAATTCAGAATAGATAAGTCCAAATAAATGAGAACAAAGAAAAAGATTACAAAATCCATCTGAAAACATACATAGGCATTTACATGAGGTATATATGTATATATATATAAGCCTAAAAGATTGGAAAAATATTTGAAAACTAGTTAAAAACAAACACAGACACACACACAGAAAAACATGCATGCAACAAGTTGAGCATTTAAAAAATAAAAATAAAAAAACTCTTTTTGATTGCGTTTGATCAAAGAGGTATGTGTATAAAATATTGATATATTGAACTAAATGGCATATATACATAAATATATAAATTATATAGGAATGTATGTAATTGAAAATAATGTATGTGTGTGTATCAGCATTACAATAACAAACCAATTTAAGAAATATAAATAACAAATATATGAAATATGACATAATAACAATTAAAATAAAAAAATACATAAATAGATGGCATACTAAAATTTAGTTGCTCATTGCAAACGAAAATTTCTCAAAAATTCAAAAACAAAAAAACATTTTGCAAGTGTGATAGTGTTCATAATATTCGTTCATTGTAATTAAATGTAATAAAAGAAGAAGCAGAGAAAAAAAATCCCCAATCACGCGATAATTACAAATTGTAATCCTTTGTCTACATGTATTCCCGTTTAAGGCAAGGGCAGGGCTAAGGAAAAATGAAACCTAACAAAAAGAAATTGTAACGCAAATTAATTTCAAAAAGTGAATTACAACAGAAAAGCAAAACAAGCAAATTACAAAAACCAAAAGAGCGACAACAAAAAATGATACTAATAAATATAAATAATGATTAAATCAAATATTTAAAATGTGTATTTTATTTAGAAATCGATGAGGGAGAAAGTTGAAAGAGTCGAAAAGGAAACAATTGCATAAATGTTACTTTCGTGCTACTCGTAGAGAAGTTCCTTTTTAAGTGATTTCTTCTGTGCGAGCTATATATAAGACATATGTGACAAACTGACAGGATCTGATATATATTTGGATATTTTAAAGAGAAGGCTATTTGCTAATCTGCACCATACATATGGCTAAAAGGTCATACAAAATCTGCCGTACAACTAGTTATTTACTATATGATAAAAACTAGGAGACCTATAGTACTCGTATACTAGATGATATACAGCAGTAGACATAGCATATACAAAAAGGTATTATACCAGCAAATATATAATATATATAAGATGTATCTGTACAATAAGGTACATACATAACTTATGATAGAGCTAGGCTGAGCTAGTGTTACTTTTACTAGCCTTTTCGCTTTTACTTTGTTATACTGTTATACTTTGTACATATTCTTAGTACAACTTGAAGAAGAAAACTTGAATGGCTTCAAAGAGTATTGAGAACTATACTAAAATCTAATCATACTTGAGAAATATCATCTATTATCATCGCTCCTATCGAAACTAGCTTCAACGTAAGTACATTCCTATATATAAAACCCAGTCAATAAACATATGCAAAGACAATCTGATACAAACGCTGCTCTTATAATATTTCTACAATTCGGACCTTTATTCGTTTATAGTATACTATATATATAGATCTCTTCAATTCATTTCCTTATTTTTAAAATTTAATTGAAATATTGCTTGAACATGATCTCAAGAATTTGTTTTTTTCTCATTTGTCTTCTTCAGTTTTTCGTTTTGTTAGATTGCAAATTACATACAAATTATGAATTAATTTAATTTAAATTTAATTATAACTTTAATTACAGTTTTTAAGACTATTTACTCACTTTGCTTGCTTTGTTCGCCATCATTTGGTAGTTAGTTAATTAGTTAGTTTTACTTAGTTAGGATCTAGCAGTTATTATTTGCATTTAGTACGTATCGATATTTTTCTTTTCGTTTCTCACTTTTGCTTTTATTATTTCTATTTATTTTTCTTTTGTTTTCTATTTTCTTTGTTTTTGAGAGAAGCGAGCTTTGCGTTTGGTTTTGTTTTTTGGTTGCTTTTGATCGTCAACTTGGTTTATTAAAACTTAAATAAAAATTACAATAATTAGTTAATTACTTACAATTTATTTTGGTTTTACATGCGCTGCGCATTTGTTTTTGTTGCTGTGCCTATATGTGTGTGTGTGAGTGTGTGTAGGTAGACTTTTTATTTGAGTGTATTAATAATAGTATATAGTTGTAATATTAGATGTACATTATACATTTATATAACACTATATCTGCTTTGTAAAAATTTACAATTGGTTTTGGTTGCTTTTTGTTTTTATGTTTTCCATTTGCTACAGTTTAGTTAAATTAGTAATTAGTTTTTAGTACATACAACTTGCAAGTAAATTAATTGATTAAAAATCTTTTAAATGTTGTTCAAAAAACTATTAATTATTATCATATATTACAAAAACAATTATTATATATATATTTGTTTATATATGTATATAAGCTTGTTACGTTACGACTTGTGTTTACTTGTGTTTTGTTTTTTTAAAAGCTTAGTTTATCAAAAATTGTTAATAGATATATATATATATATATTGTTTTTGTTTCTGTTTTTTAAACTAGTTTGGCGCGTAAAGCTGTGTTGCGTTTTGCATAGATTTCATTTTCGTTCTATATAAAATTTGCTCTTAAATACTTTTTGTCTTGCGTTTTAAAATGCGCTTAAAAAGAACTTAAATAATTTATAACAAACAAATCGGGTTATCATTTAGAATGTACAAAACCAGTTAAGCAGATAAATTGATTTTTAAAAAAGAAAAGAAAAAAGTAGAAAACAAACAATATTAATTAAATCACTAAGCAATATTAATTGTAATTTTAATTAGTTTATAAACAATTTTCATAATTTATAATTCGTAAATAATTTTAAAGCCAAACAAACGAGATCCTGCTCGTATGCAAATGAAGCAAAAAGCGTTTCTTTTCATTCCTTTTTATCTAAGGATTTTTTGAGTAAAAATTTTGAAAAATTTATCATATTTTTCAAGTATGAGAATAAATAACTTGAGAGTTGTTGTTGTTTTTTTTTTCGTTTTTTCTTCTTTTTTTTCGAATTAAGTGTGCAAAATGTTTATAAAACAAATTAATTTAAGTTTTGCGCGTAGGTAAAAATATCGTCAATATGAGTTTTAGCTTGAAACAAGTTTAAAGAATATAAGAATATTTGATAGAAAAATATATACTTCACTTAATAATGTATAAATAATATATGCGGATCTAGATATAGGTGTAATTGTAGGTGTAGGTTTGGGGGTGTGTGAGTGCGCAGGTGTGAGTGTGCGCTATAAAAGAGGATTAACAAATACGATACAAAATAATATGCTTTAAAATCTCAGAGAATAACAAAATTATGACTTATAAGACATGACATGACAAAGTTTATATATATAAATATATATATCATATAAAAATAAAAGGAAAATCAAATATCGGTTTGAATGAACTTAACAATAGAAAACGCCATTGTAGTACAATTTTAACTATAAGTATTATTTTTTTTTTTTTGTTTTTTTTTCCGGTTTGATAGTAAAAATTCTAATTTAGAGTCTAGCAGCACTTCGAAGATTTGCCAGTCGTTGGTTGCTTGTGATCCATCCATCCGTACATCCATCTATCCGCCCCATCATTGTTGTCGTCTTTAGAAAGGTCTTTCATTA